GTAGAGAGAGAGAGAGAGAGAGAGAGAGAGAGAGAGAGAGAGAGACAGAGAGAGAGAGAGAGAAAGAGAGAGAGAGAGAGAGCAAACACAGGGCATTCAACCACGCTCATTGTAAACAACAGTGGAACAAATTCAAGAACAATAATAATAATAATAAAAATAATATCAATAATAGGTCATGGAATGTAACAGCATCCATAATTAAACTTTTGGCAGTTTATGTTAAAATAGTAAAGAGATCAAGCTCTTGAATGTATTAGGTAATCAGCTATTAATAAATATAAAGTGACAGATGATACAACTTTGTTTCTGATTATTTCTGTTGCTGTTAATTTAGTGTTTCATTTTATTTATTTTTATTTAAGTGTAAGCTCATTGCAGTTCATAGTCAGAAAATCCCAATTGCTTAATATTCCAGTTATATATATATATATTTTTTAAATACAAAGCATTCTAAAATTACAACTTTGCAATTGGGGTGTAAGGTCCGCGCACCTGGCCCAAGGAAGGTACCCAGTGGCGGATGAAGGTCTCTTGCGTGTTCGGTCTTTTCAGCGCGCAGAGTTATTCAATTTAGGTTTAACTCAATCTGACTCCATTTTAGTATCTGAATTCTAATTTAGGTTGAAAGGCACATTGGTTGTTTGTCGGTCTCTGATTATTCTTACATTCGATTATTCTAATTAACTCTTTACTTTGTATTTTCTCGTTCACTAGGAATCTATGTCGCTTAGGATGCCTCACGGCGGCCGCTATGCGTGGGCTCCACGATCCCAAAACTCGCCAGTTTGATCCTAATTCAGAGGTTTGTGGCTAATCTGTTTAGCCCCCTACAGTTACCCATGTAATGCTCAGACATTAATCAGCGGTTCTTCTAGACCACCTTTGTCTAGACCCCGACAGCTAATCTAGCTTCGTACAACTTAATTAATTCTGAAATTATATACATGGTTACCGTAACTGAGTACAACTTAAACTAAGGTCAAGCGGTTAGTCAGGAATTTAGAATCTCACCTGATGCGCCCCATGCTTCATCTCCTGAGATCTAATGTGCACTTAACCCTGGACGCAGATTTGCGGACAACATAAGCCTTCACTTAATCTACTTGAGAAAATAACTTCAGAGTGAGTCAGAATAAATTAAATGTAACAATTTATTATCAGTCAGGTAAATATGTTTTATGCCAATTATCTCCACAGCCAATTCAACTATCAAATCAATACAAGACATCAAACTCTCAAAGACGAATCTAAGAGTAAATGCATACCTGAGATTAAATGTATTAGATGTATTAGAAAAATACATAGTACAGAGTGTGTGGAGATACTCTGTACTACGGGCATTCTGGTTACAGAATCGCGCTGACCCTTTTGCTGCAATTCTTTAAATACAAAACCAAGATAAGACATCCTCCAAATGGAGGCCTGTACAAACAATTGGAATTTGCATTGAGCCAGGTGCCAGACCTGGGTGGTCTACACCTCAATGGGAACAAAAGGTAATTTGCATGGGATTGTTCTCTACGGTAATCAAAGTTTCTCTTAACTCTTAGGATCTGTATTATCTTTTAGTAAGATTAAGACAATTGTACCACTTGCCCTGAAACTATTCAAATGAAACCAAACATGACTGTAAATCTTATTTGCATTCATTTAGAACATTATATTCTTGACCATTCTGAGTGAGCTGGGTGAAGAGAAGGATGGGTGAGGGGAAGGAAGGGAATGAGGAGGAACCAATGCATATGTGAGAGACATTTTCCCGCATTTTCTCTCAGCGAGATGTGGAGACAGATGTCTGTATGTTAATGCACTGTGTGTGTATTGTCTGTCTCAGAAGATCAAAGTATTTGAGTTTCTTTTATCCTTACACAATCATATACAGTTCACATGCAGTGCAGAATTATTGTATCCTGTAAATGCAAAATACAGATATAAACATTATAGAAAGAATCCAGAAAAGAAAAAAAAGGAAAGAAAAAGCAATACTCCATATCCCTATTTAAAAAATCTACATGTACACAATTTCTTTAATGAGGACCGAACAATAATACCAATATATCTCTAACAGTGAGCTGTTAAATAACACCAAAAGAAAATTACAACATTTAAAAAGATATATGGCTAAATTTATCACTACCCCAGGCCTAACAACAACATCCCAGCTGTGTAGTTTGTGTGAGCATCATGACAGAAATTGTCAGGAAAAAAATTAATCATTACAAGAAGTCCTCAGTATTTTTCATCCATGTTCAGTTGAAAAAAAGTAACAAGAAATACTTAAGAGTATTTTAACTTTTGTGTTTTTCTTAGAGTAGGTTAATTAGGGTGAGAGGTACCCTCTTATAAAGTTTTTTTTGTGGTTCCATGAAGAACCTTTTATATGCCTGAAACCTTTTCATTTTACAAAAGGATCTTAACATTATTGAAATGTAAAATGGTTATTTTAAGAACTGTGCACTGCAAGGTTCTTTGAGGAACATCGGTTCTTCTATGGCATTGCTTTGAAAACTTTTATTTTTAAGAGTGTAAAACAAAGTAGTACATAATTCAACAACAGGTGTATAGATGGCATATGAACACATTAGAAATACAGAAAAAAATCTATACAATCATATGGCATCAAATATATGTCTGTCTGTCAAGATTTGCATTGGTGGGGTCAAACCAAACCCTTTTCTTTCACAAATGGACAGTTGTATTTCAGACAACTGAACATGTATACACTTGTGAATGAGAAAAAAAATCTTACAATTATGCTTCTAGATCACAAGCTTGAAGTGTGGTGTAACTACTAATTATTTTAGATAATAACTTTTATATAGCACCAGCATGCACAAAAGAGAATATACAAATCATTACAAAGCATGTCCCCTTTTCAGCCATGTTGATTATTTTTTAGTTACAAAACAATTAACAAGTGATAAGAAATAATAAAGAGAGATACAGATGTTTTCATTCTTACCAAATATTTCTAAGCAAGATGGCTCCAACAAGATACAGAAGAATCAATCTGTGAGTATATGCGTCTAAACTCCAGGTAAACAGAAATATAACCAGAGCAGGATCCGCCGCTACATTTACTTTCACTTTTACAGAATCACGATAGAAACAATAGCAAAATAGAACATAGTTCAACTTTCAAAACCTACAGGTGTACATGTGGTATAGGAAAAACACAAAGAACATTGCTATTACAACGATCATAAAAATGCAAAATATTTATGGACTATTTTATAAAACAAAAACACCAACAATAACAAAATAGTTGCATTGGTGGGGTCAAACCAAATCCTTTACTTTTACTTTGTTTTAAAGGGCAGATGACAGTAAATAAATGTAATTAAGCTAGTGAAATGAGTGTCGTCCATTTCTTTCAGCATGTGCAGGTCCTGAGGATGGGTCAGGAGAACATACATATTAAAACATTACAGTAATCATACAACTGCATCACTACAGTTTCAATATCCTGCTCTAAACATAGATTCAGAATTAAAAAAGGCTTACGAGTATACTGTAATTACTCACATAAATTTGATAGTCAACACTCCCCTCAAATTAATAATTCCACAGCACTGAGAACTCGTTACAAATTACAAAAAGTAAAAAAAAATGTTGTTTATGTTTCATAACCTGTTTCGTAGCTGTTGTTGTTTATGAAAAGCTGCACAATGAGTCATGAATAAGAAGTGTCATGACATGCACAACAGGCATTGTCTCAAAGGGCTGTGGAGCAATTGTACTGTACTCACACCCAGCTATGTTAATCTCAAAGGGCAAAATGTTCTCACCATAGTAACGAGAGTAAGAGACTTGCAGTTTGAAAATGCTTGTCATTGCAAAATCTTGGGGAATGTACATTGTAAAGCGTCTTTGAGCCCTGGAAAGGCGCTAATAAAACGTATTATTATTAATTAACGGCATAGTGGTAACAGAGTAAAATATTTTTTTGTAAATGATCATATTTAGACTGCCCATCTTTGCCTTAATATTAAAAGTTATTCTATTACCTTACATGAGTTTTTGTGGTAGGATATATGATAAAATTCTACCTGTGCTGTACCTGGTAACAGCTGGATGCAATGGCCAAAAGTAGCATTAGTTTAGCATAGTATCATATCTAATAGCAATAAGTATTAGATAACACTAATACTTGATTAGCTTTTTTCCCCACATATGAATTACTACAAGGTCAAGTAATGATTTAAACTAATTACATAAACGGTTCACTGCTAAACACCATTTCACGATTCACCAATGTCCATTCGTTTGAAACGATTAGAGAACTGAATTTCATGTAACATATCATGTGATCTTGACCCTCTGAAAAGTTTCAAGAATCTCTCAAATGTGAAAAACAGTGACATATTTCAACGGTGCATAAACATCATAAACTGGAACTACCGTAAGAGCTGACTCAGATTAGAAAATGCTGACAGAAAACAAACAGCATGTTTTGCTGAACAGAGCTGGGTGATTAGAATACGGTTTCCATTCAGAATGAAGAGAAACGAAAAACCTGTTCACACCCCAGTGTTACATCCCATCTAGGGGTTGAGAAAACAAAAACAAAAAACACTTCATTCCTGTCCCAGCCAACAAGCACCACACAAACTTGATATGCATCTGTTCATTTATCTCATTTAAAAAGGGAGAAGCAAGAAAACTTCGAGAGGGGACCAGGCCAAAACAACAAACAAAAAGAAGACTAAATGTGAGAGGAACAAACTTACCTTACAAAAAGAAAAAAAATAAATAAACATAGCTTTTACCTCACTCCCTATCCAACCAAAAACAGGAGAAAACACGTTTAAGCAAAGAAAAGGGCATCCACCTCTCTACTGCTTCCAACAAAAAAAAAGAAGTTTCAACAGAGTCAAATTATAAACAGATCAGCATTTAGTTAACAAAAGAACCACTTAGTAGTACAAACTCAAGACTGCAGGCTCTCACGTCTACAAACACATAAGCGCAACAATCATATGCCAGGAAAGCCTCTCAGCTTCCCGAGTTTCCACCTCAGCTTTATCCACCAGCTCCCATCTCGTCAGCCAATCAGGTTACCCCAAAAACTTGATTTTAATTAGACACAGCTGATGTCCATACCTGGCTGAAGGAATACAACAACACAAAACAAAGTACAACCATATTGCACACACAAAAATAAATAAATGGCGACCACACACATCCAACAGAGAATTAAACATAAGAAATACGTCCTGGGACGTAACACCAGTCTAGTCTGTAGATTCATCAACATTGATCTCTTGACCAGACATCAGCACGCACTGCTCATCAGTATCTGCTCACTCACTGCACCATAATCAGCACGATTTCTCCCCAGAGCTATGAAAGATTGTACAGTATTAAAGCCGATATAAATGTTCTTGTAAATAGGATTAATTTGACATATATTTATTCACACTTCACATTTGTTTGATAAATATTATGGATAACTGTATCTTGTAGTCTGTAGCAAATGAAATCAAAATAATGAAGAAAAAAAAACTCACCATCATCAAAATCTCTATCACCATGTTCACACATTTCTACCATCATATACCGTCCATACATTTTAAAATGTCTTTAAACAAGGATATTTAAAAACAAGAGCTTTAAAGCTAGAATGATCATGCTGAATATTTATAGCTCACCATTTGATCCTTTCTTTTTGCTGCCGCACCACCAAAGAATCACAATGAGAGCTGGAACTAAAACTAAAACTGTTACAACTGCTATAACAGACCACTGAGATTCTGTTTCAAATGTAGAACATTTTCCATCTGCAGAATGAAAATAAAAAATAATAAATCAAAACTCTTGAGTTGAGGCACTATACTGTAATTGTTTGTGACCAGTAACATTAATCCATTTCAGCATTATTAAATGCTACAAATATGACTGCTACAAAAAGGGACTGTGTTTATGGTGATATTTACCCCATTCTATTGAAACTGGTTCTGTCAGACTGCTGTGAATGACAAAACAGTCATAAGATCCTTTGTAGTTTATGTCGATCTCTACACTGGTGTTCATCTGAAATGTTTCATTAGCATTTGGTCTGATTCCAGAAGATGTTTGGTTGTCAAGAACAGATTCATTCAATCTGATGTACATCTCAATATCTCTGGGGTAGAAACCAGTGGCCAGACAGCTCAGAACCAGCTTACTGTGATCATCAGGAGCTCTCCTCGCAGAGATGTAAACATCAGGTGAATCTGAAGAAAAAGGTAATGCAATTCTCAAACATTCTCAAAAAATTATTCTGGTATTTGTGCAGTGAAAACATTGGGTTATATTCCACAAACAAATCCACAAAAAATGCAAAAAAGCCAAATGCATTCTGAAAGAAATTAGTATAATTCTTCTGTGCCTTTTTTACATTTTCTCTAACGGTATCTCCTATAGTTACTAGAGATTTGATAAGATGACATGCAATCTGACAATCCAATGAGTCAAACTCCTGCAACCCAGATGAACATTCTTTGATATGCATGAAGCATCAGATTTCCTGATGCAAACGTGTAGAGCAGTGATCCTCAAATCTGGCTCGCGAGATCCACTTTCCTGCATAGTTTAGCTCCAACCCTAATCAAACACACCCACCTGTGATTTTCTAATGATCCTGAAGACATCGATTAGCAAACTCAGGTGTGTTTGATTAGGGTTAGAGCTAAACTCTGCAGGAAAGTGGATTTCACGAGCCAGATTTGAGGATCACTGGTGTAGAGAAAACTCATGCATGTATGAAGCAAACTGTCACGACTTCCCCTGTGTTTTGTTCAATAACCCTTATTTTGATATTCTCTTGCTGTTTCTTGACTTCATTTCCTGTGGTTTAGGTTCTGTTTGCCTTTGTTTCCTTAATTACCCTAGTTACCATAGTAACTCATTACCCACACCTGTTCCTTGTTAGCCTGTGTATATATAAGGTCTTCATTTGTTGGTCGTTGTCTTTGCATCTCTTTTGTGAAGCCGTGGCATTTTTTTCATTGTCATTGCTGTTTGGTTTCTTGGTTGGACTTTGTCATCCCTGTTCGAGTCTCTGTTTTATATTTGGATTATTTTCACTTGCGTTTCAAATAAACTGCTGCAATTAGGTCCACACCTCTCTTCTCGGTGCAACGGAAACACAAACCTTGAACAATTCAAAAAATGTATTTTTGCTGTGAACGGTGCCAGATTTAGATGCAAAGCCATAACGTTAAAATACTCACATGAGAATATTCTGAACCTGTCCTCAAAAGTTTTTCATTTAAATCACTAGTATTTAATTATAACTGAATGATGATTAACTGCCTCTGTACAGAAACAACCTCCTGGAGTTATTTTGTCAGCAGTTGCGTTTCCATGTTTTGTGTGTTCATTCCATAGGCGTAATGATTTTTCTACTATACAAATTTTATTTTCTATCATCTACCCCAAAACCTACCCCTCACACAAAACTTCATTCTATATGATTTATAAACCGATTTTCCTCATGGGGACACCCCCAAAAAATGTCCCCACAAGGATTTCGGATATTGCCAACATTTCGTCCCTATACGTCACAGAGTATACCTGAACTAAAAACGCACACAGAGTCTAAATAAAGTGATCTGATTAAAACATACTCTCATGTGTGTTGTTAAATGTGGAGATCCAGTCCATGCATTTCTCAACATAATTCTTGATGAACTGGTTTCGTTCTGTTTGCTGATCCCATTTCTTTTTGGTTTCTTTGGCTTTGGGACTTTTAACAATCCACTGCAGAGTGTCAGAATCAAAGGTAATAAAATCTTCTCCATCAAATCCATATTCATCAAAGGCTCTCAGACTCTTCACTGTTCCATCAGGAAATTTCTCCACTTCGCAACCAATTATTCTCCGAAATGTATGGAGTTCTAAAATCACAGAATAACAGTGATGAGAAGCTAGTAAGACATACACATGATTTCATAACAGGTCTGATGACTGATAAGAGAAAAAGCATGAGACTCACCAGAACACTTTGTGCAGTTCGAGAGAGTGTATAGCTGATGTTTGTACCAGTTAGAGTCACATAGCTGTACAAGAGCATCAGTCTCGTCATCTGCAGTCAGAATCAGTCTTATCCAGTCTGGAACTTCATTACTGTTGTCTGAGATCCGTCTGTCATCAACCACACCCACAGCACTGTACTCAGGTAATACATCTTCTTTGGTCAGGGCTGTAAACATGTAGTGCAGGTAATGGTTCTCTGAGGAACATAAACACAAACAATAAAAACATCTTTTAACAGGACAGAAACTCAGACAAATATATTGAATATAATTATTGAATTAAACCATGACCTTTTGTGATTTGATAAGCGCACTAAGCCATTTTGCAATTTTGGTTCTAGTTTGCACCAAATCAGTGGCACAAAACACAATGTTACACATATTTTATGTTATTGGGAGAAGCGTAGGCTAAAAATCTTTAAGTCATTTGAAACGGCCACAGTCTTTGTAAGTAAAACTGTGGTTTAAGTGTCAAGTGGCATCGTCACTTCTGTTTTAGGTTCTTCACGCTTTAACGTTCACGTTTTCATGTCTATTAAACAAAAAGTAAACAAACACAACATAAAGAGAACTAAAACACTTAACTTGAAAATAGTTTCCAGTTCCTGTTCCCTCATGTGATCACCATGTGCTTTATGTGTCTGTTCTTATGATTAGTTCCATCTGTTAGTTGCATTTTGATTAGGTTTAGATAACAAAGCCTTACACATTTCAATTACATGTTAGCTGTAATTTTACTATGTACTATACAGTAATTTCAAGGGACGGGCGGCACTGCAGTATGCATTTTCTTTTCCACTATATTTCTTATTGTAAAGCACTTTTGGTCAACTGCAGATGGGCTCTATAAATATAGTTTGACATGACTTCAAAACAGACTTTATTTTTCAAGCACAGTAAAAACATTAGTTGAACATTAGGTGCAGTGGCCCAAACCAAAAAAAGGGGCACTATAGGGGGGTGGGTGCTTGTTAATACAAATGATCCAGTTGTTACAAATATACAATTAAAAGAGAAGTCAGCACACTCTGTAATAATTTCAGACTTTATTGCAGATGTTTTGATAAGAGTGGGCTGTCCCTCACTCTCTGAGCCTGCTTCTGCCTCATCTTCAACGGAAGTAGGGGAGCGTGGGGTAAGTTGACCCACCCCCTGTATCTTATCTTGGCAACTGTACACTTTTACTGTCATGTGACCATGTATTTTGGAATCACTCATCATTTCTGCCAGACTGTGAAAAGGAGAAACACATTGGGGGGGGGATGGAAGGCACCCATTTACTTTAAAAGCTTGTCAAAGTAAAATTTTTGCATAACAGATGTAATGGTTGTTACATCAAAGCAAATTTATCCAGGTCTACAAATATTTATGATACATATAGGTGATGTAGCAACATATAAAACCATGCAAATCATTTAGCTAAATATTAGCCTGAACTGGTAAGAAACAGTAGCTATTTTTTTCCCCAAAATGCCAGCTATGGGGCGAAGTGAGCCAAATGCTGTGGGGTAAATTGAGTCAGCATTTTAACTACCCCACGATAAGGCACTGTAGTTAAGTTAAATCTCTGAATTATAAACTGGTATTTTAATGTGATATTAGTGGTTTATCATATATACATATTATTTATAGTTTATTTGATAGGGACAGTGTACAAGTGCACCAAATCCTTCTCAGATAAAAACAAGAAAATGCTTTTCATCGCATTATAATCAGATATTTCCACCTGCAGTCACTAAAGGCCGACAAACTCTCTGTTTAGTCTGTTTTTAGGAAGGCTATAACTTTGGTGTTTCAGAAATGCAAACAATTAAATATTAAAATTTAAACTTCATTTGGTTGGTTTTATGTTGTTAAAGTTAACTTTATGAAAAGAAATATGACTGTTTGTAAAAGGAAATTATTAAATTAGTTTTTAAATTATTATTTATTTCACATGGGTTTGAATCAGATTCAGATTCATTTTAGATGGTGCATCTTACCCACTGACTCGACTCGGGTCAACTTACCCCTAACCCGGGGCAAACTGAGCCATGGGAACACTTTTTAAAGCCATATTCTTAGAACCCTTTGTCATAGATACATTCTGATCATATAAAATGATAGGAATACTTTCATTAGGATAGGATAGGATTTTTTTTTTATTCTTACTTCTGCGTCATTTTCCCTTATCTTAAGGACCACATAAGTAAAAAAAAAAAAAAAAAAAAAAGGCTAATCTTACCCCACTCTCCCCTATAATTATTAGACATATATTTTAATATTTTACAGCATAAATCTATATTATATATTAAGAAACATCTCATTTAGAACATTTATATGATTTTTAAACTATTTATATATTTATATGGTTTTAATAAAATATGTGTTATCAAGACAAGTGATTATAATGGGAAATATACTTAATTACAAGA